CCTGTGGCGAGATGTTCTGCTCCTGGACTAGCTGGTTGGATCTATCCTCTACACTCTCTGCAGGGATTGCAGCTGCAGGGTTAAACCCCAGGCATGTATGCCAGGCCTGAGCTGTGACTGGAGGGGGCAAGGTGAAGTAGGGGGAAGAGGAAGCTATTCCACACACTCACCGGACCTGCGCTAGGACTGGGTCTGGGGGTTCCTGGAACTCGGCAGAAATTCCTACTCGGTGGGCGGGGTGGGGGAGTTACTTTGGAGTGGTGGGGGGCGGCCCGAGGGGGTAGGAGAGGGTCCGGCCCATGCTGTGCCTGGGCTGGGATTGGTCCTGCCGGCGCAGGGTAGCAGGAAGCTCTCCACACACTCACTGGACCTGGGCTAGGACTGGATCTGAGGGTTCCCGGAACTCGGCAGAAATTCCTACTGGGCAGGCGGGGTGGGGGAGTTACTGCAGAGTTTTGGGGGGCGGCCCAAGGGGGTGGGAGAGGGTCTGGCCCATGCTGCGCCTGGGCTGGGACTGGTCCTGCCGGTGCAGGGTAGCAGGAAGCTCTCCACACACTCATCGGACCTGGGCTAGGACTGACTTTTGGATTTTATGATAACTGTATCTTTAATGTGTGAAGAAATGCCATATAGCTCCTAAGGAATTTTGCGTGGGAGAATACCATTTTGCACTCCTGCCAGCAGTGTAAGAGAGCTGCAGTTTCCTTGCACTCTTGTCAACTCTTGGTATCTTTTGTCTTTTTGTCAGAACCGGGGATTGAATTCAGGCCCTTGTTCTTGCCAGGGAAGCGCTTTTATTGAGCCATCTCCCCAGCCCCAAGATGCTTTTTTTTTTTTTTTTTGGCATCCTTCTCATTTGTTAGCATTTACCTGATGCATAAATATTAAAGCGAAGAAGAAATTGAATGAGTTTATTGAATTATTCACTTTTTTGTCATGTGCGCTGTTGGTATTATAGGAAATACTGCGTGAATAAAGGTCATACAAATTTATTCTAAAGCATTCTTTTACAAACATTATAGTGTTAGCTATTAAACCAAGATCTGTGATCCATTTCTTAAATTATGTATGTATGTATGTATTTAGATATTTGGTACAGAGTCCTACTATGCAGCTTGGGCTTGTAGTGAACTTCCTGTCTCAGCCTCCCTAATGCTGGGATTACACATGTGTGCCACCAAACCCAGTTTCCATAGCTGGCTTGGCACAGGGCTGGCATGGTATGTGGTACAGGGATCAAAGCTGGGTTCTTGTGCTTGCTAGGAACCTATCTCTCCAGCCCCTGTGATCCATTCTGAATTAACTTTTATCTAATTTGTGGTGTGAGGTAGGAGTTCTTTTACATTGAGTTATATAATTATTTTAGCTCATTGAAAAGACCTCTCTTGTCAATTGTCTTTGTACTTTCTGAAAAATCAACCTACAAGGAGAGGGGTCAGTTGCGGACTTTTGATTCTTTTCTATTGGTCTCTATACCTATCTTTACATATTAATTACATACAGTTGTAATTAATGAGGTATGAATCTTTACTTTTATTCAATAGGGATTATATTGAGTCTGCATATCAATTTGGAAAAGTTTTACAAATTTTAATAATATTAAATCTTCCAACACACTAATGTAAGATGTCTTCCTATGAACTGTTCTCTCATTTCTTTCAACAATAATTTGTAGTTTTCAGTGTATGAACTTTTGGCTCTTATTTTTTTCAAAAACGTTTCTGTCCCTTTTTCTTTTCTTTCCTCCTGAATCTTGTTGAATATATGCTGTTACACCTGATAGTGTGACATAAATCTCTAAAGCACTGTCCACTTTTCTTTACTTTCTTTTCCTTACATGGATACATTTCTATTGTTCTGTCTTTAATTTGCTGGTTCTTTTTCTCTACCAACCAAAATCAGATATTGTGCCCTATCCCTCCATAAATTTTACTTTTAAAGAATGCAAAATAGTAAAAAATACAAAATTTCATTAAGCAAGGTCATAGGAATTCAACAATGATTGCTGTATGCATGATGTTATCTTCAAATTAGTAGTTTAGGTTACGAAATATAAACACACAAAATTGGTTAAAAACAAAACAGCAACAGAAAAGTTATAAGAAATTAAAAAGAAGAAGAAAAAATAAGACTAAAAAGAAAAAATTTTAAGGACTAATTGCTCTTTTCAAAAGACCAGCAGAAATCAGTATTACAATTATCCAAACTATCCTGAGTATATATACTTGTTGTATTTTTCAACTCCAAAATTTCTATTTGACTTGTTAGTAGTTTTTCATTTTTTATTCGTATTTTCTATTTAATGCCACAGCATAAATATACTTTCCTTTAATTTTTAGATATGTTTTCTTTTAGTTCTTTGAATGTATTTATTGTAGCTAATTAAAAATCCTTCTTTATTAAATCTGTGTGGCAGCATTTTCTGTGGGCTGCTTTTTCCTTGTGTGTGTGTGTGTGATATATACATATATATAAAAATACAATTTTACTAAATTATATCTATATCTCTGTCCACTTTGAGCTTAGCTTGGTGTGAAATACTGGAAATGACCCAAAGGGATTACATTTTGCTTCAGTGAATAGCTTCTTTGGCTGGCATCTCATTTTGAGTAATTCATCTCAGTGTATACTTGCTGTGCTTTCTTTAGTTTTTGGATTGTGAACATACTAGGATCTTTCATAGACTTTCTTCTTTCTTTCTCTAATTATTCTCACATATTTTTCAAAAAAATTCTCACTATAAATACAGATAGAAAATTCATCTTCTTTTGGGAGATATTTAATGATCTTTATATGCATGTTTGCCTGTGTATACAAAGCATATTCTGCTCTTTGAGGTGTAGCACAGGAGAATGAATTCTATCAAACAAGAGACAGCTGTATATATGTTATTGGGACCCCAGGTCTGCTTCCTTGCTCTTTATTTTTATTTTTTTATTTTTATGTATTTGGTACAGGGTCTCACTATGCAGCCTGGACTCATAGTGTTCTTCTTGTTTTCAGCATCCCCAGCGCTGGGATTACAGGCATGCGCCACCACACTGGGTCTCAGTGGCTGGTTCAGCACACCCAGGGGTGGGACTGGTGTGGCATGTGGTACTGGAGATTGAACCCAGGTCCCTGTGCTTACCTAAGCAGCTGTTTAGTCTTCTGAGCTATCTCACCAGCCCTTCCTTGCTCTTTAAATTCTTTGTGAGTTATCTAACTTCGTTTCCTAACAAAAAAGGGGGAGATGCAAGGAAACCTCCTCCTTGAGGTGTGAGATGGGCCAGTGACCTGGGCATAGGACTTGTTCCTTACCCTTACCCTCTTCTTAACCTCCACGTGGGTAAAAAGCTTATTAGAATTTAAAAAGATACATTCACATCCTAGGTGCAGACACCTCACTTCCATAGACCTTCTGTGAAGGTGGTTGGGATTCTTGACATCACTCTGAGATGACAGATCCTTTCTGGAATTATCTCTGACTCTGAATGGAACAGCTCAGCTGCCTCATGGCCAAGCTGCAGCTGCTCCCTGTCCACCTTCAAATTTACCTACTTGTTCTCCAACCAGAGCTGTGCAGGAGGTGACAGGCCAGCGAGGAATTGTCATCACCCGCTCCACATTCCCCTCTTCTGGACGCTGGGCAGGACATTGGCTGGGGGACAACACGGCTGCGTGGGACCAGCTGGGGAAATCAATCATTGGTACATGGCCTCTGTTGGTGTGGCATGGGTAGTAGAGTGTGTTATTTGGTTACACCACATGCATCTAGATTCTCATCTACAAGAATAGTAAGATACCAAGAAGTTGAGTTCTCTATGAGTGTGAGTTTTAATTCATACTCATTTTTCAGTATTTTTATTATGCATGGCCTAGGCTTTCTAATGGGGAAAGGAAAAGGGAAAGCCTTCCTTCTCCTCAAAGGACTTGTCTAAAATGTTCCTACTGTCTCATTGCAGGAATGATGGAGTTCAGTCTCTTTGGGATACCTTATGTAAGTCATAGTGAGGCCATCACTAACTACCTGGTCAGATTTTATTCTGCCCACAACCCACTCACATTCTGATGTTGCATTGTATCAGACAGGAGCAGACATCTGTGGGTTCTCTGGAGATGCTGAATATGAGATGTGTATTCGCTGGATGCAACTGGGGGCCTTTTATCCACTTTCCTGGAACCACAACACCATCGGGACAAGGGTGAGGTTGCTATTGTTCAAGTTATAGGTGTTTGTGGCTTCAAATATTGGCTTCTTTTAAACTCATGAAATACCATAATTATACCAAAAACAACCATCAAAATCACCAGGACCTTTATTTTGTGGAAAACCCACACCCTTCAGAACCCTGGAATTATTAATAGCTTTTAGGAATATGTTTTTTTCATTTTCTGGAGATTAGTAACTGGAGAAGAGTCTTTGTAACTCCTCCATGGAGCTAAAATATAAGGATGCCCCACCCGATTCACCTTTAGGAATATTACATTTGTGTTTTACCCACATACACTAGAGACACATCAGGGCTGTTTGGAGACTTGTCTTCCACATACATTCAGGGTTAAAGCTAGGACTGTGCAGGGGATGCTGGGATGACAGATAACGAGAAGGAGTAGCAAGCTCTAGATTTGTCAGTGATGATCAGGGGAAAGGCAAGTTAGAAATGAAGGGAAATGGAATGAGTAGCCTGCATGTGGAGTGAATGCTGGATGATTATTTTCTGACGCTGCTAGAAGAGAGTGAAGAAATGATTGGTTATACATCTTCTTATCCTTCTAGAGACAGGATCCTGTAGCCTGGAATTCAACCTTTGAGATGGTCTCAAGAAAAGTCCTGCAAACGAGGTACACCCTGCTGCCTTATCTCTACACCCTGATGCACAAAGCTCATGCCGAGGGCAGCACGGTGGTCCGACCCCTCCTCCACGAGTGAGTAAACCTCTTTCTCCAGGCAGTGCCTCTGGGGCTATCTTAAAAATAATCCCCCATGACAGTGGAGGGTATGGGTGAATTTTTTATATGCACATTTTTAAAGGTTTACAGATGACAGATCAACTTGGGATATAGACCATCAGTTCATGTTGGGCCCTGCCATCTTGGTCAGCCCTGTGCTGGAAAGTGTGAGTTTTTCACTTTAGGTCAAACCCTTTAATCATCTAGTTCATCTAATTTCATCTAGTTCACTGTTGTCAAGCAAATGACTTTCTGGAATCTTTCAAGATCTAATCCTGATTCATTTCTTCTGGAAGTTTGCGTCCTTTTATGGGTTTCTTTTCAAAATCGTTTTTTATCTGTTTGATGAGAAAGTTTCTATAATCTTTCTCAATAAAAGCCCTGAAATTCTTGACATCCAAATAAATTCTATCTTATCTTGATTCTGTCAAAAGCATTTTGGAATGTTCATAGTGACACATCGGTTTTGTTTCAGAACACTTTTGAGATCACAGCTTACTTTCCCAGAGCCTGGTGGTATGACTACAGCACGGTAAGAGTCAACATTGTTCCTTGCAGGCTAGGGAAGTATCTAGAGATTTCTCCTGACTTCTATGCGTGTATTTTCTAAGACAATCATTGTGTACCTTTTCAGTTTTGGAAAGGCTTGTGTAAGTGAAAGGATGCATGTAAGCAAAAGTTGACACCTTTGAGCACCTACACTACACTGATGCTCCCCAACCCACCTTTCCTGGAGACACTGATACATCTGTGCTTTCAGTCCTAAGCAAAAGTGAAAAGCAAGGGACCTTCTCCTCAAGTTTACAGTGTTTTCCAACATGTTGCCTTGGAGAGGAAGAACTTGCAATAGTGCACTCAGCTACTTGATGCATTTACCTCCCATCATTCCTTTGCCAATTTGCCCCCTTGTAGGAGTCTGGCCACAAGTCTATAGGTGCTTGGGAAATGCTGAAGGCTCCCCTTGACCACATCAACCTCCACGTCAGAGGAGGCTACATTGTGCCATGGCAAGAGCCTGCGATTAACACTCACTCCAGGTAAGAGGGGACTCAGCTTGATGGCCTTGCCCAGCATCCTGCCAAGCTTGAATGCTAAGCACTTCTACTTTGGATTTTATTCTGCAGCAACTAGAAAGCATTTGAAGAATTCTTTTGTCTTGGGTCTTCTTCTTAAGGAATTCATATCTCATTATATTGCTTGTGATATGTGGATTTGCAAATTATGTTTACTGTATTTATTTTTGAAAGTTGAAATCAAATGAAATATTTCATTAAATTTTAAATGCAGTTACACTGGCTTATTAAACATCCTGTATTTTAATTATTTTTAAGTCTCTTGCGCATGTTTATTTTATTCCTGGGTAGGTAATATTTTTAACAGATGCTGATCTTCATTCTTATGACATACAGTCTAGTGAAAAATGACTCTTTCTTTTCTTTTGATAGCCGACAAAATTTTATGGGATTGACTGTTGCTTTAGATGATGATGGGAAAGCTGAAGGTCAGATATTCTGGGATGATGGACAAAGCATCGGTGAGTTGAACTTTCCAAGGTCTCCATACATCATGCAGAAAATCCATGGTAGAGGCTCAGCATTAACAGTAGGAAACTAATCCTATCTATGCATCTGCTATTTGTAGTAAGACAATGATATTTGGAGGCATTTTTGCCATTTTTGCCAGCTGAAATATATTATAGTAGAAGTTATTACAGACCAAGCATCTAATCCCTAGTCTGGTAGATTCAGGAACCTGATCTCATGGGTTCAGTCGGAAATGATAAAGAGTTTCTCTGATAAAACAGAGTGGGTGCAAATATCAGTTTGGTAGTGAATTCATTCTCAATAGGACACAGACGTGGCTTCGTTATTTGGGCCAGCCCTTGATATGAGGCATCTTTTTCCTTATAAGAGGCCCACTCAAGAGACAAATTAGGTCCTGGAAGTGTTGCTTGGTGATTCATAAAGTATGAGTTGACTGTTGCTAAGAGGATACTTCAGGTTGCTTTTTATGCTTTTTTTCTCAAATCTCGGAATAGCTGGATCTACCTTAGGTAATTTAAATCTGTCATTAAAATCGGAACACCATCTTCCTCAGCCATTTCTACAGAAATACAGAGCTACCAATCAGCTCTCACTTATCACTATTTTACTTCTCTGTACCAGAACATCCTGATCTTGCAGGTTGCCATCTATTTTTAGATTAGAACTTAGTTTTCCACTAATAATGTTTCTAAAGTTTTCTTCTTGCTAGTTTTCTTCAAAGGAATGATGGGGGATAAAAATGATCAAGTGTATTATGATCATGTACAAATCTTCCAAAGCCCTTTTTAATCAATATAACCAACACATGCTAATGTAAGATGCCAAAAAAAACCCAAAAGGCATTATCTTAAAATTTTTTTGAAGATAGAAAATTAGAGAAATGCAATCACTTAAACTTATTTTTACTGTTTGCTATTTGCTTTTCACATTAAGAAAGTGGTTATGTTTTTATGTAACTGAAAATCTACTTTTAATTTGTGGGATCTGATTGTCTTTGTGATACACATATATCTACAGGTTATTATGTTTATTAAAAGCACCAGCATGACTCTCACATTCTGCTGATAAAATTGTACTAATTTATCTAGCTCTTTATCTTTACAATGCTTTATCAATATGCTCTATATACATGCACTTCATAATTATGTGCAATCATTATGTGTTTAGAAAATACTTAAGGAGGTGTAAATGTTTGCTCCTCTGATTTGATCCTTATACATTGACAGATTATCACAGTACATTCCATAAATATGTTAAGTTAGAATAATAATTAATAGAAAGAAAACAGTAAAGATCATTTATCGTGAAAGAATAAGGGGCTTCCTTTTACGCCATTTTTCTTAACCTCAGTGATCCTGGCGTTTGTGGCTAGATGGTTCTTCGTTGCTGGTGGCTGGGCTGTGCACTATAAAATGATCACTAGCATTTATGCTTCCTCCTTATCTGAAGACAAAAATGAAATATCACAGGAATGTACCTCGTTGGACACTGTAAAATACCCCAGAATGACAAAATCACTGTTGCTAGAAGACCAATGTTTTTAAGTGAGTGTAGAAAGCTCCTGTATGTAGGCCGAGGTAATCAGATCTAGATGAGTGATAGCACAGTGGCTTAAAACACCGCAGTTAGTGTTAAATCAACTCCCCTGTGAGAGTTTCAAAAATGTAAAGGTGCAAAGCCACTTCTTAGTACAACTTAAGTTTCTATGAAAATGTGTTTGGTTTAGAGTTAAGTGTCAGTAATCCCTGAAAGTTCCAAATATTTTTCAGAAAGGCTTTTTATACTTTTTAAATTAAATACACTTAGAAATTCAAATTTAAATACAAAAACATGGCGTAAGTATAGACTTAACTTAAATTTTCTGTTAATAGCTTTGAAATAACTTGCTAAACTCTGGCCCTAACCTATATAAGGTGGTATGATGTTGACAGTGGCCAAGAATAGACCTTTAAATAAAACTGACTTTAAGAAACAGGAAGAGGAGATGACCCAGGCCGCGGGGTCTTGAGTAGACCCAGAGCGCAGGCC